GCGGACCGTGGCCTGGTTATTTCGAAGGGTGACCGATGACACTCCGGACGCGGGGTAGCGGGTTCCGTGGGTACCGATGGTGGTTGGTGATGACTCTGAGGTGCCACCTGCTCCATGTTCACTGGCTCATGGAGGTTCCCATGGCTTTGACCTGGCCATCTAGATGCATGCTTGCTGATGTCATCAATGATACTGGTACGTGGCAGGTGCGGGTGTACCGGTGTATACATCCGCAGGAACTTCCTATTGCGGACTGTAACTCGTCCTGACCCGTCGACACGGACCACGTACTGGTCATGTTGGCGGACCTCTATCACCTGTCCAGTTTTATCCCATCTCAGTGGGCTAGGGCCAGTTTGGTTCTGGATCCTGACGTGGTTGCCAACTACAAGGGGTGGGAGTCGCTTTGTGTGTTCCATCCAACGTTCAGCAGCCCTCATATGTCGGTTTCTCAATGCTTCCTCCCTCGCCGCCAATGTCTCTTTCCATGTGCTATGTGGCAGGTAACGACCCGGGAGGACAGGGATGAAGTCCTTGATAGCTCTGCCAAAAACGCACATCGCAGGGGAGAGTTTGGTGTCTTTGTCAGGGCAATTTCGGTACTGCAGCATTGCACGTTGGAAGTTGTCTGTGTCAAGTTCACCGTATGGTCCTGTGTTGTCAGTTATAAGTCGTTTGACAGTTTTCACTCCGACTTCTGCACGACAGTTGCTGTGGGGGAAGGCAACAGACGATAAGCGGTGATGAACACCCCAGTTCTTCATGAACTCGCGGGTTGCGGCAGCAGTAAATTCAGGGCCACCGTCAGATGCGAGTTCGTCGGGTATGCCATAGGTGACGAATGCTCTGCGGAGGCTGTCAACTAGCCCAGTGGAACCACATGAGGCCTTTTCAACGATAGGCCAGTTGGAGTATCTGTCCACGATTGCCAGGTAGTTGGTGCCTTTGTAGTGGAAATAATCAGCACACACACATTGGAATGGGTATACCGGCGGTGTTGTGGGTGTCGGCGGTGCGCTAGGCTGTGAAGGTGCCATTCGGTTGCAATGGGTGCAGCTACTTCTGACGGCAGCGATGGCGGGAGTAATTCCAGGCCAGAACACGGATATTTCTGCTCTTGCAATCATCGATGACGTGCTCTGGTGTGCGGCATGAAGGGCCGTCAAACAGTCATGTCTGAGTGACGGTGGGATCACGACTCTGTCCTTGTAGATTATGACGCCATCTACTGTGTAAAGATGATCCCGGAACTGATGATATTCCTGCAGTGGCGTGGGCAACTCATGGCGGAACTCTGGCATGCCTGTTTCGATCAAGTCGACCAGCTTGTTCGTATTAACGTCACTACATGTGGCTGTGCGGACCTTGTCCCACGTGATAGTTTGTAGCGAGATCAGTGATGAAGTCGAATATTGACTATCGAGGTGTCGGTGGTGTGTGACAATACATGCTAGCGCCCTGACATTATCCCCATCGTTTCCCTGGTTTCTTTTGCGCGTGACAGCGGCGCGGCGTGATCATACAAAAACGAGTATGCACAACTACACGTTGACAATCGGTGACCCCGACGTGATCACGCCAGTAAGCCGTACGCTATACCCGCGAAGATACCGGCTTTATTGAGCGTCATATCCGCCATGTATAGCCTATCATAAAGAAGACATTGGAATGTGTAGAAGATTTGCAAATGGCATTTCTAAATTTACGCGCCATACCTGTAGATACAGATTTCACCAGAAGAGCTGATGTTTGGCCGTCCACTCATCACACTGTTACCGAGCCACGGTGAGCCCGGACCAAGCAGTGAGAGGGAGCAGCTGCAGAATCGGAATGAGAAAATGCGGCAGCAGACTCCAGACGCGTCTAACCTACCACCGCTTCACGAGGGGCCGAGAGTGCGGGTCATAGACAAATGCAACAAAACTTGGTGTCCCGGGGAAGTGGTCACACGACACGAGCAGCCGCGAAGTTACGTCGTAGAGACTCCAAATGGAACACGCCTACGACGAAACCGCAGCCATCTGCGTGAGCTAACTACCGGACGGATGGTCAAGCTGTGCGATGAGAAGTCTAACCAGGCTTCCTGTGAAGCAGCTAATATGTCTCCAGCTAATGCTTAAAGTGACACCTTGTCACAGGATTCCAGTAGCGGGACAGATATCGTACCCAGAAAAATGCCTCCAGTCTAGGCAAGACCCGTCACGGCCGCGTAGTAAAGTTGCCAGCAAGATTCCTAGAGTGAACGTACGTTAGTTGGCAACGTAGAAAGTTATTACTCAAGGCTAAAGAGATTAGTTAGCGCCATGCTGGGGAAGAATGACTCCTCCCCCCAGGACAAAAGGGCAGTCTACCCCTGAGAATGAATTTATTATTTACCATTTATTATGAATTATGTTATTGATAAATAGAGACTGGGAAAACAGCGAATCATGAAACAATACGGTGGAGAAAATCATTATAAAAGGCAGCACAGTCAGATGGAGAAAGCGGATGGTAAATAGAAGCACACTAGAACTATATAAAGGGAAAACATTTCCTAAACAAGAAACCTTTTACAATAATAATAAAATCGGCAGTAAGCTGCTGTACCAATGTAGAGCGGGATACCTCCCGGTAAATAAAATAACCAAGAGATGGTTAGGGGAAGAAAATTGCACTGTGTGCAATAAGGGAGAACCAGAAGACCTAAATCATTTCCTGTTAGTTTGCCCGGCATAAAAACACATAAAGAAGATCATGTGGGACAGGCTCCAAGAAGTGGGGGTCACCCCTGCACAGCTGGAAGAAAGGCAGGTGATGCTCACCATCTTGGGGCTAAAGGAACATAGATGTTATGAGGATTGGGTAGAGCAGGTTAAACATTACTTAGAATCAGCCTGGAAGCTCCGGAACAAAATCTCCCGGTAAAGTGAAATCACCGGTGGGAAACTATCGAAAATAAAAACGCAGTGGCTACGGGTACGGCAGCCGTATCTCTAATTTACGAGGCTGGAAGTACGCCAGTCCATTAGCTTTCATACTTAACGAGACAAAGATGGCGGTGGGTGACGGCAGATTTTGAAATAACGCCTTGGGAAATAAATTCACGATTTGAGAGTTTTGATGAGCTAGAAGCCCTAACCCTAACCCTAACCCTAACCCTCAAACAAACGCCAAAAAGGGGCTTCAACGAACGACGGCTGCCGTACCCGTAGCCACTGCGAAATAAAAAGGGAAACACCGATCTAAATTAAGGTTCCCGTTCATACATACATACATACATACATACATACATACATACACACATCACACACATACACACAACACACACAATGAACCACACACACACTACCACACACACACACACACACACACTCACAAACTCACACTACCACTCACCACTCCCACACACACAACATCACAACACCCACACACACACAACACACACACCACACACACACACACACAACGCACACATGCACACATGCACACATGCACACATGCACACATGCACACATGCACACATGCACACATGCACACATGCACACATGCACACATGCACACATGCACACATGCACACATGCACACATGCACACATGCACACATGCACACATGCACACATGCACACATACACACATACACACATACACACATACATACACACATACCTTACTGTGGAGATTTCGGGGGTGTGTAACTCACATGAGCAGTAGACTAAATCAGGATGGATAGATTGAACTCGCAGTATAGATAGAATAATCATATATAGACTAAGGACAGGATAAAATAGAGACCGCACATAAATATATCAACACCTGGGCGCAGCCATCTTGGATCATGCATACGGATGGGGTCTAGGAAAAACAAGGAATGTATACGCGAAAAGCGATAACGCAATATGTAGGGTATAATAACCAACGCGGTTATGTACTATTGATCAGCATAATATACGAGGAGATTTGAATAGAATGGATAGTCTAAGTTGTCGAAGAGAGGAATATTTACTTAGAAACGAGTTGCGTCAGATGGTGCAATAATCGTACCAGCCACGGAATCTGCGTGGGGGGTAGTGTTTTGACGACGTGTAATAAACAACGGCACGTAGGAGGGCTCATAGAAATTGAATAGAATACAATTTCATTCGTAGAACATTATCACTTAGTAATTAACATCAATTATTCAAATATGACCACTTCTTACAAGTCGTCTGTGAAAACGGGAGGTTTGCTACACAGTATAGTGTGTACACTGTGTGTGTATATAGTGTGTTAGCTCCAAGAAACGGTATTGCTAGGGTTAGAATACCCCTATAGATACAATAATGTAATCCAAACACAGGATAGGATGCTGTCCTGTGTTTGGGTTACATTATTGTATCTAGAATACCCCTAGCAATGTATATTGACGTTAGTCACACAGCCTGGTCGGGTTAATAGTGTGCATAATACATGGTTATGCAGCAAACAACCCGGCACCGAACCCCCTTCCGCGCCCGCCTGTACTGTCTGTACTGGGCGCATTTTATACAGCTGTTAATCCCCCCCCCGCTAAGGTATACCAGCTGATATAAATTTGTAACAGTGCACGGTAGTAAATTGCCACAAATGTCCTGGGTTGTAGAGGTACACTACTGCCCAGCCAACATTTAAGCAACCACCCACACTGCTACGATTAATGAAAACATGACTCGCTCATACAAAGAGCAAAACTACACAACTCCAGTCAAGGTAAATATAGTATACGGAAGGATGACATAAGTGACCACGTTTTAGTTTAATACTTTAATTCAAGGACCATTTATGTTTAATACCGCAAGCTAAAGCTATAGAAACATCGAATCATTTAGCGAGTTAACAAATTCTTTACCTCGATCACTTATAATTTTTTGTGGTGGACCAAACTGGAAGAATATTCTGCACAGACACTGAAATGTACTCGATGTTGTTTTGTCTTTAATAGGTGAAGCGAACCAAGGATGAACTAATGCAATTTACAGTTGAAGAATTTACAGAAAAATTTCGCGAATTGCGGTTATCCGTTTCAGGTATGCCATAATTATATTGTACCATTTTTAACATCAACAATATGTGTAGAACACGTAATTATTCGTATAGTTGCTGTTGAAATCGCACTCTTGTTGTTGTCACACTTTCTTGTAATTTCGCCGGCTACCTTTATGACAAATTATGTGTTCACGGAACATTGAATGTTTGTGTAGTTCTTGTATTCGCGCACATTTATTTTAGTATATGAAATTATCATTCACGAGTTGAACTGCCCACGTAAATTATAGTGATTGGTTCCGTCAACGAAAGTAAATTACCGTGAAGTATGAGATTTGTTTCGAATAGAGTAAATAATACATTATTAATTACAAAATTGAGAAAAAAATTGGTTCAATCTTTGAAACGTTTTTACTACGTTTATATCAGAACGTAATCCAAATCGCAGTGTGTGGATACATTTGATTGACATAGTAATTTCTCTTCTAGAGAAGGAAGGGTTGAAGGCAGATTTGGTCACTAGATTATATGATTGCTTGCAAGAAGAGGTGAGTTATGAGAACAGACCACTATTAAATCTTCCATAGGATCTTATACTTAAAAATTGAATTTTAGGAGCTGAAAATAGTATTTTGACCGTTTTCATCTGAGTGGCAATATTAAAGCTAGGTAGCCAAGTACTTCAGCTGTGCACCATGCGAATTATGACATAATAAAATATCGCGAATGTACTAACCGACACCACATTTTTGCCTGAAAACAATCGCACAGTCGAATAGGGGCGATACATTGAAAGAATTCGTTTTAAATTACCAGTAACAATCCACCCATCTCCATGTGCATGTCATTTACACACACGATAGCCAGCTTAAATAATGCAACCACAAAACATCACGCCAGCTTTAGTGCACGAGCTGCGGGCACTCCGATTGGTCGGCCGATGACCTGTCACATCCTTTAACCTAACAGGGTAATGAACCGGTAGTGATTTAATAGTGATCACGTACGTCTGTACAGAAACTTTTTTTCTCGGAATCTGTCAAACGCAATAAAATACGTTCCGACAAACATCGCTGCACACCGGTGCAAAATGTTGGCTTAATTCGCTGTTCGGTTTTTGAGTTTTATTAGCTTATCTGACATAGTCAGATGCAGCTTGTAAAATCGCGTGCGTCCGTCCGTCCGTGCGTCAACAGTTGGGCACAAATCTTAACCACTTGACGTACGGTCACGATATTCGGGAGGTCGGGGGGATCGTCAAAACGAGTTGGGATGTCGAAGCTGGGGGTCAAAGGTCAAAGGTCAATAGGTGTAAATGAAGGGGGAACATTCCCTCCTTAACTTAAGGTATAGGGAGGAAATGCAGAATTGCGGCACAAATCTAAACGACTCGACCTATGCTCGTGATAGTCGGTGTACAGCATCATGGTAGGAAAAGCCATCACTGTGCTGAAATTGGAGGTCAATGGGGCACAGGGCAAATTTTAGACATTTTCTGAGGACATGGTCTGATGGAGCGATTGAAAAACTTTTTTGTTTTAGCAGGGACCTAGCATTTTTATGGCTTTATTGAAAGGACCATGAAATGTAATTTCTGCTGACATGCAAAGAGTAAGTGTCGGATAACTTTTTGACCCTCAAGAGGTGGATTTCCTTACTGTTAGAAAGAATTTGACAGCCGGGTTTGCTAGTAGAATCTATACATGCCTGGATGTATGAGGCTACAATGTCACAGTGAAATTTCAAGAGCTAAATTTGGTTTGAATGAAGTGTTTTATGCCTCCTTAAATCGTATATTAATTTCTATGGCTTCGTGTACTGTCAGTGTGTTCACATGCTAACGTAATGCTACTGCCAGTGGCCACTGCCAGTGCAGTGCAATTGTGTGGTGGTACGTGTATTTTTGCCTGCGTTAATTGGTTTACAGGTGGCAGCTCTCTATTTTAGCCTGTAGGCTAAGCCAGGATGTGATAATTTCTTGACCTTCCTATAGTTACGGAAGCCCAAGAAGTAAGTGACCACGTTTTAGTTTAATACTTCAATCTAAGGATAATTTAAGTTTAATACCGCAAGCTAAAGCTAGCATAAGTGACCACGTTTTAGTTTAATACTTTAATCTAAGGACCATTTAAGTTTAATACCGCAAGCTAAAGCTAGCATAAGTGACCACGTTTTAGTTTCATACTTCAATCTAATGACCATTTAAGTTTAATACCGCAAGCCAAAGCTAGCATAAGTGACCACGTTTTAGTTTAATACGTCAATCTAAGGACCATTTCAGTTTAATACCGCAAGCTAAAGCTAGAAACATCGAATCATTTAGAGAGTTAACAAATTCTTTACCTCGATCACTTATAATTTTTTGTCGTGCACCAAACTAAAAGAATATTCTGCACAGACACTGAAATGTACTCGATGCTGTTTTGTCTTTAATAGGAAAAGCGAATCCATGATAAACTAACGACATGGAAAGTTAAAGACCTTAAAGATGAACTTCGCAAAGTGGGGTTACCCGTTTCAGGTATGCCATAATTATATTGTAACATAATTAACATCAACAATATGTGTAGAACACCTAATTCTTCGTATAGTTGCTGTTGAAATCGCACTCTTGTTGTTGTCGCACTTTCTTGTCATTTTGCCGGCTACCGTTATGACAAATTATGTGTTAACGAAACATTGAATGTTTGTGTTGTTCTTGTATTCGCGCGCATTTACGTATTTAGTATATGAAATTATCATTCACGAGTTGAACTGCCCACGTAAATTATAGTGATTGGTTCCGTCAACGAAAGCAAATTACCGTGAAGTATGAGATTTGTTTCGAATAGAGTAAATAATACATTATTAATTACAAAATTTTAAGTTCAATCTTTGAAACGTTTTTACTACGTTTATATCAGAGCGTAATCCAAATCCTAGTGTGTGGATACATTTCATTGACATAGTAATTTCTCTTCTAGGGTTGAAGGCAGATTTGGTCACCAGATTACAACGTTACTATGGAGGACAGGTGAGTTATGCTGTAGCTGCGTACGAAGTTTTTTAACAGTCGACTCATAATAATTATATGCTTTTTACAATTTATGCATAATCAACTTGATTTGTGTTCGTTAACACGTTTTTTAGTAGCAAATCATTTGTTTATGGCTTATTCTGGTAATGATCAGCGTGACGTCACGTCCAGGTCACGTGTGTAAACATAGCTCCGCTGGTTGGCAAAAGCGTTCGCCGGTGGCTATTTTATATTATTTGTTGTGCATGTTGTATTGGTAAAAAATGGTCAGTTACTGCGTTGTAATAGGATGTAGTGATCGACATCGAACGGGGAAAGGTGTTTCATTTTATAGAATACCTAGTAAATCAAAATATCCAGTGAAACACAATCTAGTAATAGTATAGATGAGAGCAATACCAAGCGAATGAAAAACTTTGTGGCCGAGAGTCACCACAGTGTTTCATGTTATATTACTATTAGGCAAGTGATGTGAAATTACATATTAACTTGTTACCCGCATTCGTTCCGCACATTTAATAGTTTACCGACTTGGAAATTTTGGCCAGCAAGTTAGCATTTTTGATCCATTGGCCTGACAAGCAAGATGTTCAGTGTACATTACCAAAATTGTTTAGGGGGTCACGTTATTCAGATGCTAGAGTAATCATTGATTGTGCCGAGGTGTTTATTGAGCGCACTGGCAACCTAACTGGTCGTGCCTTGACATGGTCAAATTACAAGCACAATAACACTATCAAAATCCTTGTGGGTATATCCCCAACTGGGTCGGTGATTTTTATGTCACGTGTATTTGGTGGTCGAACATCCGACAATGTAATCACACAGAGATCATGATTTTCGGATCTTATTGAGTATCGTGACTTAGTGTTAGCTAACGGGGGGTTTCTTATAACTGAGGATTCAGCAGCGAGAAATGCATCCTTTTTAATACCAGCATTTACTCACGGCCATGCAGAAACAGTCGAGTCAAAGAGACGTCGAAAAACGAGAAATCTTGCTGGCGTCTGTATCCACGGTCCACCCACGTTCAACGTGCGATTGAGCGAATCAAACATGTCAAAGTCCTCAGCACCATCATGTCAATGAATATGTTTCCCCATGCTGACAACATCATCACTATTTGCTCTGCCACTGTTAATTTGCATCCTCGACTTGTCGATGTTAAATAAAGAGAGAGAGAGATAGATAGATAGAGAGAGAGCGAGAGATAGTGAGAGTGAGAGTGTGAGAGTGAGAGTGAGCGAGTGAGTGAGTGAGAGTGAGTGAGTAATTTCCATTTGTTATTTACAAGGTTACGTCGATATAACCCAGTCTTAAAATAGGAAATAATAATAACAATAATTACTAAAAGTCAGTGATAATTTGTTTGTCAATCAAAAATTTATTTGACCTAATACAATTATTCGTTATATCTAAATTTGCTATAGCTATGACAACTAGCTTAGAAACCTGCAGCAGTAAACGGTCAATTTACGGTTCGGATTTAGTCGCAAGCTCGCTAAAAATCAGCAAACATGAATGTATGGACAGTTTTGATAGCAGAAATATGCAACATCTTTTAACTGACGTAGGTTCATTCAATTAGGAAAACCTATAATTATTTATAAATTTTTAATTTAAAAATGTGTTATACACAGTACGTATACATTACTAATTAGTAATATCTTTGTTAGATACACATAATCACCCAAGTAGATCAATACACAGAAATTACTTATATAAAGCCAATAATATAAGTATGCTAGTAATTAATAGTATAATTAAGGAATTAACTCTGGAAGTATGTGTCGCATGAACAAATCCCTACAGAGTGCTATATCAGTATACTGCTTGCCGACGGAACTTTGCATCGTACGTAATTCTCTCCACGTGCAACTCGCATTTCATCCATACAATAAAGTCAATACAAAAGGACGTGAGATAGGGGGACCGATAGGTCTCGAACTGATCCTCTTCGTCAGCGCTGTCAGTTTCCTCGCCATCATCGCCGACAGGGTGGATCGTGTCAAAGAACATGGCGGTCGAACATGCCTGCTTTAAGGAAAGGAGAACAGCATCACTCGAAAGCTGAGCTTTTTCCGTTCCAGACACTGTTGATAGGAACGCATCCATTTTGTAAATCAGTCTTTATTCAATGATGGTACTTGATACAGATTACAAATGATGGGACTCAATCTGAAACAATGGACAAGAGAGTTACATTGTAGTATATTATTGTCGAATCTGGTGTATCTCCCCCAAGTCTTTGGTATGTTTGTATTTAGAGAGAGGTGCCAATGACTGACTGATTAAAAGTAACACATGAAACGAAAGCATAAATCTTCAGAGTGATGTCTTTACATACTTATGGTGAATAACTCAATGTTTGATTAGGAGCACTTGTCCATACGAAATTAACGTTAAGAATTAACAAGTAAAGTTTATGATGTGTCTGTCACAAATACAACACTATTTTGTCATATCATAATCGCCCGATGTCTGCCAGGCAGGTCGTCGCCTGACGCGTGTCGCGGTTCTGGTTGGTGCCGTAGGATCGTCCGGCAGCGTCACTGTGTCCGGCTGTGTACTGGGCTTCTTGGGTGATGCCCGAGGAGACAGTTGCTGGTTGCGATGTGGACCTCCAGGCGATTGTCGAGGTCTAGTGGGTGTAATGATTGTCTCATCGAAAGTCGGTCGAAGCTGCTGATGGGCATCCGGGG